ATGAATTTATGGATATTATTTGAAGTGGAGATCGATATGTTGTTGTTTACTTTTGAATGATATAAAATAAGGGTAATGCTACTAATAGAAATGGAATGTTTAAAAGTGGGTAAGTTAAAAGGGAATAAAACGCCAAATATATTCTAAACATTTACGAAACATCATATCAACTGTAAATATGTGTGACATTCAGCTTACTTTAGGCTGCGTTTAGCCTGAAGGTACCTTGAAAGCTGGGGAACTGTGAGGATCAGTTGTGTGTGTGTGTTAGGTATTGTGGAAGACAATAACTGAAGTGTAGTAGGAAGCAATTAAATTAAGAGTCAACATATGAGGTGTATGGGCTAGTGAGGTAGATATTTTACTATTGAACATCTTCATTCATAGTGCTCTTAGTTTAGAACAATCTTATTCGATAATCCATTCTACTGATCAACGAGTGAGCACAAACCATTAGATCACTTTTATATGGTACTTTTAAATGTTTCAACAATGTATATAAAGGGTAAAATTTTACCTAAAGATTAATTCTTTGTAATTACAGGTTGGACAGTGTTTTAATATTCTTCTACTCAATGAAACATAAGATTCTGCAAGTAACAATAACATATATAATTACTTCCCGTATTATTAGCTCAAATCCCATTCGATTCTCGTACTTTCAAAAGATAACCCTCCTTGAACTCATCTGACTTAATTTAATTTGGTTAACGAATATTGCGTTGCTAACAATACATTGATTGACTAAAAATATTAGCTTAGGAAAAATACAAATTTCTAGTGACCACACCCTGGTAAACAGTTTTCAAGCATCATAATATAATAACTCTTATCGATGAGAATTGTAAATTGTACAACTGTTAACCGATTATGTAAAAGTTACTATTTCTTTGAGAATAGTACTTTCAAAACTAAATGAAAAACAAGAAAGTTGCAATACATCATTAATAAATACACAAACTGAGATATTAAGGCTGCTGCTCATTCTTTCAAAATTAATGGTTTTCTCAATTACAAATACCTACCCGGAGAAGACAGAAAATGGGACATTTTGCATGAAGATCATAAGAAAATTCAGGGGTATATGAAATAGTTGCTGATTGTAATAACCAACTTCTATAGATCTGAATGATCAGCTTTCCGCTGACAAAATTTCTAAAAAAAATCAGAAGTCTAATATCATTCTGATTTTGAAAGCTTGTCAAAAATATCCAAGACCACAATTTCTAAATGAGAAAACTTACAATAGATATCAGTGCTACACAGAGATGATAAGAAACTATTTCTATGATACAATGATACAACCAATATATTAAACGCAGAAACCCTATTTGTAACTGATCAAATGTTAGATTATGTAAATATTTGTTTACTAATTACTTGCGAATAAAACTAGATTTTTTTTAAAAAGATGTGCAAATGAATGAGTAATTTTTGGAAATATACTCTCTCATCTGAATGATTTAGTCATAGAACTTTTATTGCTTACCTCAACAACATTCTTTAAAGAAGATATTAGGATTTCTTCATAATGAACTAACACACTGTTCTGTAAAAATAGAGTTAAATTAGTTGTTATCCATAATCGTACTGATGTCGTTTATACATATATTTTGAATGCCTTCTCCCTTACTCTAATCTAATAATTATCTATCCTTAATGACTAACGTATTGAAATGGGTTTTGTATGTCTATTGATTTATAATCAAACACTTATGCAGCGTTTCCAAAAATTTTCTTGATATTCCCTTAGTCCGAAATTTTGACGTTTTCCTAGTTAACATCATATCTATTGATATAAGCGAATATAAGTCGAAATGTTTAACAGTTAATTGATGCTCGTATAAACAAAGATAAGACTCAACAATTTCGAAAACTATTCTTATTACTAAGCATGAATGTGTAACTTTTAACTGTTCAAAAGTAGGGTTTTTTTTACAAATCCTTACTTCAAAAATGAAGCCTCATTATTAGCGTAAATGTTGTTAAAATAAAATATGCGAGAAATATATCTGCTACTCAAATCCTTAATCTTGACTTCCCAGTCACCTTCTATATCCCCAGACTACTCCTACACTTAAGTCTCGAAAGAAAAGGAGTGAAGTAAGAATGGGAGGTTTATTTCAAGGTTCAAGTATGTACAAAAACAGGGTTACTTATAGATCTCCGAATGACCCTGACTTCCTAAGTCTGTCGAAATACACATTTAGTAAAAAGAAAGCAATTATCGACTCAAAATTATGACATATCTCTCGTTCTTCTAAGTAATTCTGGAAAGTCTCTATTTGAGGATGATTGGATGAAATCTTTTCAACCTTTTCCCTGTTAATGAGGGTTTTCAACAGTGTATGTAGTCTTTGTCACCTTTTGAAGGATCTGGCAACAAAAACCACTGAGACAACACCCATTGTACTTGGTAGGTCTAGAGGTTGGTTGTTCGTTCAAGGGACCGAAGCCCACGGGTTCTATTCCCGCTTGCGGGATCGTGGATGCACACTTCTCAGTCCAATACCACGAAGAAATGGGCATCCAGTGTTTTCAGTTCCTAGTAGCAGTGTAACATATGTCGATTCATGATTTAAATAAAATCCAACCATCTCCACAACGCTTTACTACACTAATCACACAAACTATGTAACCTTCAATATCATTTCATGCAATTCTATTCAATGAGTAGTTAGTATATTTTAATATCTTTTTTCCAATAAATGAGCCATCCAAATGGGAAAATAGTGCTACGAATGAGAACACTTAACTACAATTTATTGTGTATTTTTAGTGGAACTCAATTCACCAGGACGAAGTTTGTATACTTGACCTTTCAGTCGGATTGGTGTTATTAAACTATTCGAGTTGAAATCGCGTGCACATATTTCGTTCACAGATTAATAAATGTAAAACAGTGAACTGTAGTGTTGAGTGCAGGTTGTTGATGAGTCTCGCTTTAAAAACCGAAACATTTGTGCTTTAATCTGGTTGATTCTAAAATTAGTTCTACAACACATAAACTATCAATCTCCACTAAAAATACCATGTAATCAACAATTAAACATATATTTAATAATAAACCATATATATTTGTTTGTTTATATGTGAATCTATTACTTAAAAAAAATAGAACATTTGTCAACAAAGGTGGGGAAAAGATTAATAACGAAAAAATATTAGACCGATCGAATGAAAATATTGAGTATTTTGCTAATTCGATGAAAAGTAAACAACTTAAACTGGTGTTTACAACCTCGTGATCAACATGATCGTCTCTATAATAGTAGTAAATCCGGTAATGAAAAAACGTCACAAACAAATAGTTATCTATACAAAAGAATGATGAATATGTGTGTAAAAGAAATAACAATAGTAACAGTAATACACAATAGAGTAGTTCTTATGTTTATATGCTGCATAACAGCAGATATTACTACTAATAATAGTAAACGTTGAGTTGATGCTGATATTTATCAAAACAAAAAAATCGGAAATGTGTATTTTGGGTAATGAACGTGACACAAATCCGTCCGTCAGCTGTTGTTATCTGATGTATACAGGTCTTTAATAATGTTTAGAAAGATTATAGAGCATTAATTTGATGCTTACTTCTGTTCACATCAACATACCTAAATAAATTGGATTTAAAAAACAGACAACCGATGAAAAACAAGCAACTAATCACTAGTTCTTTACAAGGTATGTATGCTTAAAATTGAATAATATTGAAAACAACATAGAAGTCAGTAAGTAAACTAAAAAAGCATCGAATTTATCAAGGAAGCAGACGAGAGGCAACATCCCAGTTAGATTAAATGAATATAAAAAGAGGAAGGTAAAGGCAGAGCAAAAATACACTATGATATATGTGTACATATATTATATCTTTCTTTTTTTAAAAAAAACAAGGATTCAGTTAACAGATTACTTTTGAAGCATTTCCATGGCTATGTATGACTATGAAGGTAAGAAAATCGATACCAACAAGAAATAAGAACAGTACAAAAGTAAAATTGGCAAAGGACTAAGTATGATTTCATCATCGTAATAAGTTCAACTATAAATGGAAGTTTTCATGAAAAAAGGCATAGTATTAATAGCATTGGTAGTAGTATGTTAATGAATGGTGATCCCAAAATCAAAAAAGCAAAAAAAAAGTATTTTCTATAATTCCATGAACATAAGAAATGAAGCACCCTTCTCTCACTCTCCTACAATCGTCACACAAAATGTCACGCAGGAAACAAGACTAGAAATTATAGATGGTCGAATGAAATATGATCATGTTACTTCAAATCAATTAGGTTTCAGCAAAACAAAGACATGGGAATGAAATAAATTATTTGTTTTTGAGCAAAAATAATTCCAAGAAAGAGACCAACTTTATTTTATTAACATTAGTACTGATGGTTGAACAAAAAGGCATATAACAATGAAACACAGTAGTAGTAGTAATAGTACAGAGAAAAAAACTTAAAAAATCATAAACACTTTAAATAATCACAGAATGTTTACATTATCCTGATAATATTTACGTGTTAATCTGGCATAAAATGTAAGAATGAACAAGCAATTTTATAGTGCTTGCATCACTAGATTTCATTTCACACTTAGTGAAAACATATTCAACAATCTAAAAACAGCTTATTAGTAGGAATATTAATGATAATATGTGCAATTAACTGTCACTATGTTCTGGTTACGCTTGACATAATAATGATGATGATTTCATTTTTCAAACAAAAGAGAGAACATACATGACAAATAGTTGAACGAAAATAATAATAACAAAATGAGAGACACGAAAGACAAAGGAGTTTCACAATCGAATGAACAAAGAAATATAAAAACACTTCCTTCACAACATATATGGTTATGTAGTTGTTATCAGTATGCTTTGTTTATGATAGAAAAAAAATTGATGATATGTATTTTCGGTGTTATTAGTAGTCTATTGAAAATAAAATTTATAGATAAGTATATATATATATATATATATATATATATATATATATATATAAGTAAATAGAAAATATCTCTTTTACAAAGTTGTATATGTATAGTTTTATCCAAGTAATAAGCAAATCAGTTAGTTAGTTGGATGGACCGGCAAACACTCATAGACAGCATGAATCTATGATCCACCCCCTCCACTTGCAATCTCCAACAATGATGGATGTCGTTCAATAATTCGTGTAATTAAATCGTCAATATATTTACGCAGTTGTTCATTTGCATATTTCTCTTTGGATAATAATTCGACAACCTAAAATAATTAATGATTATAAATAAATATTTACAGATCAACACACGTAGGTAGATTGTAAACAACATGGAAAATGTTGAAGACATTAGCTGTTTTTCATAGGCCTTCCTACTACTGCATCAAGTTTCCATGGTATATATATACAGAGCTAGTGAATCATGATTAGTGATAAATTAATTGTGAATACAACCTCAATCCTATAGGTAAATCGAGGCCCAAATAGATTCAATAAAAACGTTTCGGACTGCGAAACTGAGTGACACAAGTCCAACTACATCATGGAGTATCAGCTTAATCAAGATAGTATTGATAAGTCTTGTTAATTTGAACGCTTTATTCGATTCCTAAGCTAAAACTACGCAGCTACCTGAACTCAAGAGAAAAGGCGCAAAATAAACGAAAAACACTTTACTCCAAAGGTTCATTTTCGTACAGAAAAACACGGGTATTCATAAATGTTAACATTTGTTAAATCAACATCATATTTTGGCCAATCCGCTAAAAGACATTATGCTACTGACTAATAGTAGCACGCCACGTTGATATTCTAGAAAGCTCCATCATGCTCTGATTGGCTAGGACTCTTCGGCTCCTTTAGGGCCTCTGGAGGCTCCGTCGCAGCTCTCGGAAAGCCGACTAAACAAGTAGACACACCATTCTAACGAGCGCAGATTAGTACAGAGACCTAGGTCTAGAGTTTTTTGACAGCTGCTTTCAACCACTTGAAAGAATGAAGTATCTTATGCCAACTTATTCTTCAAGTAAAGATTTCTGTACTCAGCTTGAAGCTAAACTACTGTTGCTACCCGATAGTCCGAAACTTAAGTACGCGAATATTAGTTTAAATTTATGACATACAGGTCGAGAGCTGAATGGTTTTTACCAGTAAACGACCCATAGCCTTCACAAGTGTCAACTGCTACAAAGTCATGTTCTCATTAACATATCGATAAAAAAAACCTACTGATTTGACAAAGACCTGCCTATTGATATTAGTATTGAGGTTGGACTACTCATTGTGTCGAGGATTTCATCCATTATATAACACCTTTTAAAGTTGTATAAAAGTGCCTGACCTAATTTATATTTATCTCAGATTAGAATTACTGGACAGTGATCAACATTAATATTGTAAACTTGAAGTATATTTTAAACCCACATATTTATTAGCGTCAGTTTTATTTACGAGTATTCATGTCGCTTTAACTGTAAGTTAAATATTTTGCACAAAGTACATACACAATAGAATCCAGACACAGTGGACTCATTTGTTAGTTGCTATGTTGATTCACTGAAGATTCTTCCGTTGAAAATGTAGTTTAGAATAAATGAGTATATTCAGTCAGAATACTAACAACACATGATTTATCGACAAAACGCAATGCGGATGAAACCCGAGTGGTCCGTAGGAAACAATATTAAAAACTACTATTACACTAACATTTATTGGATTGAGCATAATAATATGAAATAAGGGTATTTTTTTAAATACAATAATTAACTATTTTGTATATTGAAATTGCACACTAGTTAATTGGATTTAAAACGTTATACTGTGTTTTGTCATTATTTTTTCTAATAAATAATACCTCTTAAAATAATACTTTGATTTATTTTGGAGGCACTAACTACAAATTTGTAATAAGCTAATACGGTACAAATCAATAGTTCAATCAAACAGACTGTGACCCATTTTCCAACAGGATCCTACACCAAATAGTAGTAAATATACACATTTTTGTCTAGTTAAATTTGAGCTACAATTTTCTAGACTGATGTTATTCAAGTGTTCTAGCCAAGGTGATTGGAGTAAGAGGTACGGATCTATTGTTTAGAAGTCAGATTTTTAACATCTTAACTACTGCTCTACTTAAAAATTAAACTAACACATTCACTGGATATCTGAGTGTGAAACACCCTAACTGTAACAGCTAATGATACTAGCCAATTGATCTAACCGAAGTAGGTGAAGCGTGGCTCTAACCTGAGACGACTGAAAGTCGAATGCTCTTAACTATTAAGTCACCATTCCATTAGTTTATTAGTAATTGAAATAATAAAGCTAGTTAGTAATAGCAAATTAAGGTAGATGGTTGAACACAGAGGACCTTGAAAGATTCAAGACCATCTCCTAGAACCTAGTACCAAAAAGTATATGCATTAATTATCATTCAGTGTTTGATACCTTTGAACACGAGATCATTATCAGTTGACTGACCAGACAACAATTTAGGTAAAATTCCATTTTAAAAAAAACCTCAGCCGCTAATGTCATGAGTACAACACGTAAATTAACAAGTTATGACAATGATCTGAATATATATATATGAAGAGCAAAGACTTTAGCAAGCAAAACTTTATTGATTTTTTCTCCTTGTTTACCATCATCATCTTATTCGTTACAAAAGATAATAAGTTGAACAGTAACAGTGAAATGGCATCAACACATTAATTACTGAAACTATTTTACTATGCTTTGTTTAACTAATGAAGAGATGATTTTATAACACACAAGATACAATGCTCTTCTCTTACATACATTTATATACATCTATATGTGTGTAAGATCATGTAGACGCACACAAATCAAGCATCACATGATCAATATGTACACATCATTCCGATCAATGAAGTGTATTATTGCACTATACTAATATATATATATATATATATATATATATATATATATATATATATATATATATATATATATATATATATTGATTCGTAACATAACCAATATCCGAAGACAATTAATATTGAGTCATCTTTTCAACTATTCAGTTCAGTTATGAAAATAACGAGATAGCAGAAACACTTACAACTGTAAATATACCGGTTCTATAAGAGGTTAATCGCGTCCCAAATAGCTCAATACTGGTGACATCTCAGACTGTGAAACTAGATGACGCCGGCTCGAATCCTACAGGGACCATATGTTTCCTCAAGATTACAGGTATTCCTTACTGATGAGCGGTAACTAGCATGTGACCTAAGTCCAGGGTTTTCTAGTGATTACTCCTGACCACAAAATAATTGCAACAAGCCTTAAATATCTTGCGAGTTCCTACACCAAAAATAAACGCCTAACAATTTATGGCGCTGAAAACAAATTTAATTTCTTAAGTATACTATCTACTGTCGATTGATCTGTAAGTTGATCGCACTATATGATATAATCTGATAGAAGTAAATGATGATAGGAGTTATTATACATAGATAGTATTTGACTTTATCCGGTCACAAATATTATTCATTTATTTTAAACTTAATTGACTGTAAATAAGCATAAATTGATTGATTACAAAATTGATGGTAACAAAGAGTAAAGTATTCTCTAGAAATGAGTAATATTATATTACGCTATGTGAAACAATAGATGAGTGGTTTTAAAAAAATATGATTTTTAACTCACAGGTTGTAGTTTCGACTCCCATACACACAGATACGCACACCACATACTTTACCAACCATCATATAAACAAATGTTGTTCAAAACTGAGTACACGAGATTGTATTAGGTAAATTAGTTTCTTTCAGAAAAAGTTTGGTTAAAATTCAGTCGTCTGAGTTAAGGACTGCAACTGATCAGTTTCTTTTAGTATATGCACATACTGGTCGGACTAGTCACAAGCATTTTGGGGGCACAGTTGGATAGTGACTAGCAGTAGAATTCAGACAGTGCGTTTCGTCTAATTTCAACCTCGTCAACCGAATGTACCTGTATCCTAGTGTTGACGTTCAAACTCCACGATTCCATTTATAGCCACATTGAACTTTTACATATGAGTAAACTAGGTTTATATATACGTATAAATCCAAATCCAATAAAAAATTAATTAGAACCATACCTCTTCTTTAGTACAATTATCTATTTCAGAAGCCCAACTTTTCTCTGATGAACGTATTAAGCTTTGACCTTGTTGAAGTGATTGTGTAAGTAATTCTTCTTGAGCTTCTTCCACTTGTTGTCGTAATATTTTATTTTCAGCAGTTAGTCGACGAACAATTTCTTGAACCTCTTGATAACGTGCTAACACTTCAGTTGAACCAGTGCTAGCTGCGGCTGCTGTAAGTGTACCCGAACCTGAACCGACTCGACTTCTTCGTTTACCACCCATAGAACCATTCAGCTCTTCTAATACCTAAATATAAACAGAAGCACATATATATAAATTACTATTTGTGAATGTAATTTTTGATCTGTAGCCTGTATTCATAATAGAATGATCACAATTGGGATGTGGTGGATGCCAATCACAAGGTTGTTTGTAAGTAATGTGCAACGGGAATGTGGCATCAAAGTTGCAGCAATTGTCAGATGGAGTGAAGACACTCGGTGCATCGAAAGCATGGGATTGGCAGGAAATTTGGAGGCCACACCGAAAGATGCAAATGGACGATTAAAGACTATGTGTATGTATTCTGTAAATACTTCTCGTAATATATATGCATTCCTCCTGCCTATTACATTGTTTTACAGCGGTATTATTGAAAACGTCAGAGAATTAAGCAGCTTGTTTCGTACTAGTACAAGACCATACAGCAGTGCATAATTAGCACCCTCCAGTGGTTGAACTCAGCCGTCACGTTTCGCTAAAACTAATCAACCCATAGAATTGTCGGGCTGTCGTCAAATGGCACGACTTAAGCTTTTATTAATTTGCGAAATAGAGCGGCAACTATCTAATATTACGTATATTTTGAAGATTATCTGTATAGGGGGGATCTTGGGGAATAATAAATTATACTAAGATCACGAACCGGCATAAGTTAGGCAACCGGTGAATACCAGGGAGTACTGAACATCTATTTCATCTTAACATGTGCATCCACAATCTTACCAATGATCAAACCTAGGACCTTCAGGTATCGCACTGACCATTTAACCATTAGACCTCTAAGCAAGCATTCAACAGCTGTCCAGTCAGTCCTCCATGATTTTCAGTGGTCGTCTAATTTAGGTCATTTTGTCATCTCAGTAAAATTTCGAAAATTGTAAACAGAATCAATGAGATACAACTAAAGCTAAGTGAAAGCAGTTTCAGAATTATAAACAAACGTAAGATGTGTTAAATGCATCTTATACGATCAACTAATAGAAGAAAAGCATCATTATCAGCGATTAACTGGAAAAAACAAACCAAATATACACAATGCAATATTATTACTACTTATTCACAACTATAAGAAAAAGTGAAGTAGATGAGTTTAGAAGTATGTTGTATTTCTGAAAATATCAGAAGCCATAAAAAAGGTAACAGTGTTATACTTCTCAACAGTGTATCCCAAATACTCCTATAAAAAGAAGCTATAAATTAAGGTGACTGAACATAATTCATAGATATATTTTAAAAAGAAACTAATACACAAATAGGAATAATATTTAGGTATTTTTCGACTTAACCACATCTTTATGCATATTATCGCATTTTCTTTTACCTGAGGTTCAGTGGGACCAATTACAAATTGAGTACAATCTAGTCATAATACATCCACGTATGTGTAGATTTCTGGAACCAGTAACAACCTTCATCTAATCTCACCCCCACAAAAAACTTCTGAATGAAATAAATTAAACGACAAGATTATTAAGTGAATTAGTTGAAATCCCCACTATCAGAACGAAAGAATTATATGTAGAGTTGGGTTTTAATAGTACATGATTTATTGCGAAATAATGGAGAAGACTTCCAGTACAAGTGGATTTTTTCGTGACATTGCATTTTTGAACCAGATTAGCTTAACTCTGTAGCTTCCATTATCACTATATTTATAAATTAAACTTTATATGAAGTAAACACTGCTAGTATTGTCCAGAACAATTATTGCAATCTCTACAACTCAACCACTTAACTCTGAGAACACAATATCGAGTAGTCCAATAACTAACTACAATTTCATCACATAAATGTAGTTTTTAGTGTGTTGTTTTTTTAAAAAAATTTAGTAATTCTTGTAGAAAAGAAAAAAAACAATATCAATTGTTATATAGCACCACTACTACTAATACTACTAACTTGATACCAATTACTGGTAGGCATAAGTTAAGTAGATCATTGTTTTCTCATGTACTTACATTCATTTTTAGTACTTTAACAAAAAAAAACTTCCCACAGAAAAATGAATTAGAAAATTCAGAACATTATTTTTTTCCTCTCACTATTAAAATTATTATTATTATCACTATTCAATCCGTACAATATACATACTTTCTTTTTATTCACTACAACTCAATATACATAGACTACATGTTTTCAATTCTTAATGTGTTTTTTTATTTTGCACATAAACCGTGAAGATTAGTTTGTTTATTACTCACATCACAATACAAAACTTTTTTATATAAGTACATAATACTACATATTTTCCCTAGTACATGATTATTGCATTTTTTTCTTAATACAATTAGTGTATGATATATTTATCCCTGATTGACTAAATTTGGTGTATGATTGGGAACTTAAAGCAATTGGATAACTAGTAGAGGAGGCACACCTAAAACTTAGGTGTGCATCAAATTCAAGACTTTTAGAAATCGTGCGACGAGTACCTAACAATGAACTTTGTGTTATATCAAGATTTGATTAAAGTTGTGGATTTGTAAATAATAGACGACAATCTTGTGACTGTACTGGTTAAAAACCTTGAAAGTCTTACCAGTCGATCACAGGCTGGATGGATGTATAGCAGTTGAGGAATACTATACTAGGACAAAACAGCTGGCTAGTGCACTCTGGTTTTGTTGACAGTGACTTCGTTGGTCTCAATAAAGTTGAATCAACATGTGCCATTTAAGCCTTCCTCTTCCAATGTATACACACTGATGCACATAGAACAACAGACGGATAAGACTATGTATTTGTAAAATTTTGATATCAAGGTATGTGTCTAAAACATATATTCAAAACTCCATAATCTCAAAATGAAGTAATCATCCTCTCAATCCTTAAAAAGGGACTAACTAATTTATATCCATACATATGACAAACATTTTGAACTTCTGAAACGCAAACTAATGCTCAAAAGATGACAGAACCTTATACCTGCAGAGACATTTATGTATCCGAGTAGTCATGTAAGTGCTACTGGCGAAACGGCAGATGAGATTCAGCCAATGGATGGTAAAAGCCATAAATCCTCAAGCTGAACTGAGCAGTGTTTGAGGAAATCATGATGTTACTTTGACTGTAAACATCGGTATCCGTGATAGCACATGTGTTAGATCCTTTAAAACCATCCCGAGCTCGGATATTTGATGGTTCTCTGTGCTCAAACATCGAATTCTCAGAAGAATCGCCGATATCCGGTGACAATACCGATGTTTGACAGTGTTCATTCTGACAAACTAACAATTCAATTGGTATCACCATCTTAAAACACCGAATTCGGTGGATTAGTCATGTTTTACTAATCAATTTGTGATATGGTACCACAATCTCCCGATGTCCTAGGTGAGAATCGTTTTATTATTAACAAATCTGAACTCCATCACAGTTACGACTTCTCACTCAAACTTGAGGAACATCTTGAAGTAATTAGTTGTGACTGGCGAAGTTCAAACGAATACAGTCTAAAAATTAAGAAATTATTCTTCACAAAAACCATTCAAATAATCCTTTATTTATTTAATTATTATCAGAAATCATAACGAAAACAATCAAGTATTAATTAAACCCAAGTAAGTAGCAACTTACATGTACCGCATGATCACGATCTTTTCGAAGAACTTCCATTTCTCTAGTATGTTTAGTCGTTAATGATTTTAATTCTTCTTGAAAACTACGTGCTTGTTCTTGTGATTCAGTTAATTGTTCATTGGTTCTTCGAAGATCCTAAACACCATGGCGAGATGGATATTTTTAGAGCAGAAATAAATAAGACAAAAGTTATAAAACTTATAAGTAAAAATATAAACAGATATGCATTGAAATTGTGTGTGTTTTCATATATGAATATAAACCGGAAATAAAAACGACATGAAATGTTCACTTATATCAATGTATGTTAGCATTAACGGATATAAATTCAATCAAGAGAAGAACGTCAAAATCATGAAACGACGAAATACAAAGAATCCTAGAGGATTTTCTGTAAGCATGGGTATTCAGGTAAATTTTTAGTTATCAATAGAAATATCAACACAGACCCTATTTACGAACCTATACAGTAAATGTCAACCACCCATGCGGTCAGAGGTGAACAGAAAAAATAAACTTTCGACAGGAATACAAAGACAAATAAAGCGGGTGTGAGAAAGGTATCGTGAATTGACTTAATTTAAAACTGTACACCATTGGATCCCGGCTCAGTGATCTAGAGTTAAAGCGTTTGCACGAGAGACTGAAGGTTCTGGCCTAGATCCTCGGTTGTGAATTCGTGGATGTGCACTGAAGTCCTGTGGTTGGACGAAACGGTCATCCAGTAATTCCATGTTTTCAATGGTTATTTGACTTAAACTGATTCTTGATATAAACTATATATGTATACACATATATATTGACCTATATCTGACCAACCCATAGAAACAACTTTTAGAACATATTTCTTTTTCAGCAAAGATAAAACCATAAGGGATCTTAATTTTACTAGACTCTGTGAACATTAGTTCAGTGGCCTATGTTCCATGAGGGGTAAAAGACTTGCCTAAGTGGAAACATTAGATATTTTTAAAAGAAACAACTTGAATTTAAGAATGTAAATCATTGAATCCAAATTCAGTGATCGCAGTATGCTGTGCTGATATTCTAGAAAGCTTCATCAGATTTTGACTGAGTGGAGACTCTTCGGCTCCTTTGTGTTTATCAAAAGCCATTCCAACAGACCTAAAATTCCCGGATTCGACCCACGGTGATAATGTGAATACGCAATGTGGAGAATCCCATACTAAGACGAAACAACTTCCCGGTACTTTATGGTTTCTAGTAATTGTCTCACTAAAGTTAATTCATGATGCAAAATGAAAACAATCTCCACAAACTCATGCATACTGAAATAATTTGTTCGGATATTATTCATGTTCTTTATATTTAAATGTGTTAGAAACAATAACCTGAGGAACAATAGAAAGACGCACATAAGCGCACATGTACAACAATCAAAAACCGATTGCCTAAAAGAAAACAAATGGATTTAAGGTTATCGTAACCACTCATTGTCTTTGGACTTTATCTACAAAGATACACGAACTTCTTTCTACAATTATTCTCTCACACGTCTTTTGTTTGACTGAAGAGTGTTTGTAAGCAGCTAACTATACTATTTGTAAAGATTTGTAATTTCGCCCGTTTCTGGCTGCAGTTAGCCGATTTCTACTAATATCTGTGCCCAATCTGAACGGATCGTCTCGATATTGTCTTCTGTTACACGTTTTTAGTTTATTTGTACCATGGCTAGCAGTGAAGTTTAGAATGACCTTTGTTCTAGTTGAGACTTGTTGGTAGGATGAAATTATCCTACTGTTATTGTTCACACAGAGACTTGAATGTTAACATGTTATTCATTAAGCTACTAAGTTCAGATACCTATTAACTAGTTCAATGGGTATGAAGAGTTCTAAATAAGACGAAACGCGCCAAAGATCCTACAGCCAGCCACAATCCAAGTCAATAAGTCACTCACTCTATTTACAAACTATTCGTCTTTTCGTAAATGTTGTAGTATATAGATTTAGTAAAGATTTAAAGACTCAGATTTAGTCTACAATGCTTTTTTTTAAAGGATTATGTAGTAGTTCCTCGTTCTTCCGAGCATAAGAATAAGCGACACTGGCATAACAAATGGTGATGGGGATTGTGGAATAAAGAAAGACATAACAACTGCCAACGGGATCAATTTACCAGTTTCAGTTTTTCAACATAACTATGTGGTCCCAGTTATAACTTCGTTGTCAGTTCAACCTACCCCTAAACCTGTTATGTTCAGTTATAAATATACTTCTGCTTTCTTTTATCAAGTCGCTACTACAACAAATAACGCAGTTACTAGTATAAGAACATGTTAATTTCAGAAGTAAAATCAATGCTACAGTTTAATGAAGATGTGTAAATTAGATCTCATTCAATGCTCACCGATGCATTGAAGGAATATATGCTCAGACAATCGAATCCGGAATCGCAATCAAAAATTATAGATACGTTAAACGAAGTAACTGACACATTTCCTGCAGCAATAAAGAACAGTTTTGTGATTGATGAAAAGGTCTACAAATTCTGGTGATATCATACCAGATGTTGCTTATTCTCACAATGTATCTGTTTGTAGTGAAAACCTTGGTCAGTATGAAGCATAAGCTCTCAATGGGTCCAAATCTAACTATATTTCCGATGGTATGATGTTTATTCTCATAATCCATTCACTTCTAGTCAATGTGAGAAATATGTTCTAAAAAAGTCACATTCTGATCAAATTCCAGATATTATTGTAGCAGATGGTGAGTGCTCTCACACCTCAAATATATCACGTAGAATCCCTACCTAATGCTATGATGAATCAATTGAGACAACAAGTGTTCACGAAACAGTCTCGAAACCAGAATGCCCAAGAGTGATGTCGTTCACACAATCGGAAAATTTAAATTTAGTCCCAAAGTCTGGCAGTTCGACATTCGGGGTAATGCTCAATGCTTGTAATGGTAGAAATGAAGATTTGTTTGAGATGAAAGTCTCTGAACCAGACTGGGTCAAAGGTTCATGCTTACCTCAGGAAGCTGAGGTCAAATAAAGATAATAAGTGTGCCAATTTCACTTCTCCAAAAATTTTAAATACGATCAATTTGCACAGACTATCCAGTGTTTTCGGAAAATTTATGATGAGTAGTTAACAAATTTCAGTATTTCTTACAGTTATCTAAAAATACTTAACGCATCTGATGATATTTATTTTGTTTATTCGGACAAATTGAATGTCACATACAAAAAGGTAAACCTTGTTTTAGTACATCAAAGTCAGTCCAATTGTAATATCCCTGTATGTAGAAATGTCCCATTCAAATGTTTTGAGAACAAAGAGAGCCTACATGAATCACATGCATTTTTACTGACAAGTCTAAATGTAAAATGTGCTTATTAATATAATGGACGGAATAATGAAAGGAAAGGGAAAAATCACCGTGTATAATATTATCCTTACAGGTCAAGATCATACGCTCCAATACTCTCATATAAAGAAGGTATGAGTAGTGTTAAGACAGTTCAGGTCACATTATTTGTAACGTAGTTATATGAAGATCCAACATTGTTTCGCAGGGGAGGGAGAATCATATATGTATTGAACGAAAGAGCAGAGCATAAATTAGGTCAATTTCTTAAATGAAGCTGGAAAAACCCATTGAGACCTAGGAAACGACTACGCGACCGGCAAGGAAGATCCTAGCGGGTACGATAAAGAACAACAACCCCTCGAATGGACTGTCCAGGGAAAACTTATTCCTGCGTATTCCATCAAAAAAGAAGAGAAGGTTATGGTGGAACGAAAAGGTAAAATTGCATTCTTTTGCTCATTATAATTTTTGTTCAACATTACTTCCACTCTAATTCAATGTATTGATTCAGTCAGTCAGTCAGTCAGTAACAACGTAGAACTTCGTACGTACGTACAGCAGTTCGAGTTGCCATATCACATTAGCACAGAGATGTAATGATTACTCAGTGTAGTGTTTGTTTTGGTTTCCAATATGATATTTTATTCGATATAACATTAGTTTATTTGAGTGTGATGTTTGTTGGAGATATGATATACTTGAATTACATGAAAATTAACTATGCTCAGCATGATATGCAGCATGTTATTTGTTGTAACTCTGGGTATTTTTCATATATGTGATTTTATTCTAATTATTAATTAAAATAAGTGTATAACTAACGTATGAGTGTATTTTCGACTAAGGTCGTCGTCGTGATTTGGGGTTAATAAATCTTCACTTGAACCAGTCTTTGTGTTCTTATTTTCGTGTCGTGGGAATTGCGGTGGTTAATCGTTCTTTCAAAGAATACGAGACGCGGACATAGCAGATTACCTATACACTAACCGACTGACAGCATTGAAACAAGTATATATTTTTGTAGATAGACTGATGGATCAAATACAAAACTTTGTCAGATCATATTCAATATAAAAAAGTAGCAAATCTGATTTGTATATAAAATTTACCATTTTCAATTGATATCGAAAAGGAATTGAAAAATCAACTGGAAATTATTAACCCCTTTTTACAAATCAGTTTTACGCTACTCTTAGACAATCACGTGTCCATAACTTCTTCTGATGAAATTCTACCCATTAGATTCGCGTGAAGTGAATTGGTTATTTTTACGAAAGAGGATATCTGGTACGAATGTAGATCGTTTACCTAAGATTTTAGAAAACCCGAGTTTAAACTAATGATATACAATGAGTAGAGAATTCTACAAGTGAATAACGTATGGATATAATTGGTAAAGATGGCAGTCTTTTGACATTGTAGCGTTAATAGTTCTTCGAGAACCATCTACCTCAGTTTAAACGTCCGAGTAGTGTCCCAGCTCTCACATACACAAGTAGTGATGATAATAATCCAGGGTACGTTATGATATAATTAGTTAGTACTCAAACAAATTCGTCATTTAAAAATCGCTACCAAAGAAATATCATAATATTTACAGTACATAAATATTAACTTAAATTAATAAAGATATTCCATCAACCTACAATAATATACGTTTGGTTGTCTGCTTTGATACGAGCTGACTGAACACGTAATTCGGAACATTCACTTTCTAAAGAAATAATCCGAGCACGTAACGTTTCTGATTCTTGAGTATGTTCTCGCGAAGAGCGTGACTAAAAAAGTGTTTGGACAGAAAAGAAAAAAAGTATGGAAATATCAATGAATCATGAAATATGTTATGGAAAAGAGCTTGACAGTCACTTGAAAAAAGTTCCAACCGATATGTAAATAGAGTTTAAGTAAAACTTCGATAAAATGTAGTTACGTATTTGACGCTTGAAAATTAAACCATAAAAGCCCACATCTTCAAATGAAACCACAATGATACCATAACATGGTTGATGTTATCCACAACATTTCAAACATTCAATAAGTACATGGTGTATCCAGCATTTTCAGTCATATTTATTTTCATTTGGTGAGTGAGTAGTGTATATCAGAATATAACTTTTATTAAAGATTTTAGTTCAACCTCCGACTTCCACTAGATGTGGGGGTAAAAGTATGGTATATAGGGAAAAGCTAATCAGGATCGAGAAAACTGTCAGCTTTATGTGAGAAATTCAAATACCATAAATGATGAGCAGTAGAAATGTCTTTATACAATGCTCAAAATGTTAAAAGTCATAGCAGTAAATTAGTTTTTGCAACCATAAAGTAAAATTGATAGTGTTTAATGTACCGAAGGTTGAACGTTTTCTAATATATATTGTTTACAATAGGCAAACATTGACACTATTTTTAAGTAGTAACCCCAAACCCTTAATACTGAATCAAACCTAAACATGGTGGCACTTCATCTAATAAACGAACTAAAATAGCGCTTCAGGAATTTTTAAGCAAAATTCATTCATCCATATGGCCTACAGAGCATTTTCGAATGATAGCTGTTGTCAGTTAGTGATGAAAACCCCAACTGTTAACTCCTTATCCTAATCCTCATTAGGAATAATATCGGGACTCTTGCAAATCTATTTAGGTACTTATATGGGTTCGAGAAGATGGACACTTTATATCCATAAAGACAGATTTATGTCATCGTTTCTTCAATCTGTAGGCAGAGTAACCTGTAGAGAACCTTAATAGAATTATTTAGAAAGTAAAACCCATTTAAACTTTGCAATATTAGGACTTTCTTTTCCAGAAACTATCTTATTTATAAAAGTTGCTTTCTGATTAGCTAAAGAATTGGCTGAAAATCCGTCGTGGTCTGTTTAAGCCCATTCCTATATCATACTTTTACCAATTTGTATTTTTCATCTACGACTTTACCTTACCTGAAGTTGCGTTACACATTAACGTGTTCATAGCAGACAAATGCAAATAATTCCAAACAATTGAAATGAAATCTTTAGTGAAGATAACCACTCGAATATATAAAAATCATCCACAAACTGAACAGAAAGATGGTCGCAAATGTTGGATACAAAATACTTATTTCAAAGTGTCGCCTGGATTTAAGTAAAGAGTTGTACACAAGAAATTTCTTTTTGAGAAAAAGTGGAGATTTTTTGACAGAAATTAAAGATAACAGGGATTGTGTCTGACATAAGTTTGTCCAAATTGCAACCGCATTCCAGTAAAATCACCAGTAATGCTCTAACTGATATACTTCCAAAAACCTCAACACAGGTGAACACAAACAAAATAATTAGTAGCTGTTAGTATAAATATGCACAACATTACTGATTGTCTTGGAAAACATATCTGGATTGTAATTACAGTAAAGTGTACATAAAACTCATACCCAAAATTTTAAAGATCAGCGAAGCCGTCATTCTAGACAAAACAATGCTATCAAATAAACTCTACTTGACAATAAAACAAAATATACCGAAAAAATCGACAAACAGTTAATATTAGCGATCAACTGATAGAAAATCATAGATGAGTACTCACTTCAATTACATTATACAGAATGGAAAAATATGCCACTTATTATAGGTACTGATTTTTAGTGGACTCCTTTTAACATCTCACTGGTCATAATGCGCACCACTGATATAAGAATAAAAACACTGCAACTCAAAAATCTCCCAATTCAAACGAAACACGACTGAAGCAAAAAGTCTCTTGTCAATGAGATAGGTGTGAAACCAATAATATGTCTCAGCAGAAAAATATTTAGAGATGTCATAAAAGTTGAATGGTGAACGTCCAAATGAACTATAGTTGTCACCTACTCCTTCAGCTATCTTAACTGACAGTACGAGGTTGTGGAGACAGAGTTTTATTGAAATCACAAACCCCATACCGATAATTATCACATGCGTACTACTAGTGACTATCTTCTACAGGAAAGCTCCAGAATCCTAGTGAGAAGCTGTAACAAGTGGAGTTCAATAGTGTCGCGTATGAGGGAAGTACCCAGAGAAAACAACAGAGGGTGGTTGTGTAATATCGTGGATAGACTGAAGTTAGAACTGTGCATGATTGGACCACAGCTCAGTGGTTTAGAAGTTGAAAGTTCGTGAACGAGGCAAGCCATGAGTTCGAATCCCAGTCGCCAAACCTCAGACAAGCACTGCTGAGTCCTATACTTAGACAAATCGGCTGTCCAGTACATACAGGTTTTCAATGGTTATCTAACTCAGATCGGTTCGTGACAACAATAATATTCTGAGTTGTCGTGTTGATAAATATTGACACACGTAACAAAGTGAAGGCCTGTGAGAAACCCCACGTAGACCATCAAACGTAACTGATAATCACAGTGATTTGAGGATAACAGCTAAAGGCTAGATAGGGAAGTAACCGGATAGCTATCTTGATAAAAATAGCCCACGTTGTATATATGTGATAATCACTAGAGTACTCAATGTACAATTGGACAAAATATATAAGTAATAACAATCACTTTACTTCAACAATATGCCTATATCATAATCATAAAACGAAATTTCTCCTACAAATAATTGTTTTTACAGAGAGAGAAAATAACCAGCCTAAATTTCTTTCCTTTTATGATCATGATTATCCAATAATTTGGGTGTAAAATGATGATTACTACTGGCAACCAGAACCAAAAGTCTTCCATGCAATGAGTAAACAAACAGAATAACAATAGGCGAACTATGTAAATATGTCACATGAATCCATCATCTGTTGCATACACATACTAAGAAGCTCCTACGAACACACATGCACACATACATACCATATACATATACATATATACAACTACATACATACCAATTGCATGACATAAACACTTAATGCTGAGGAGTACACTATTGGTGGAAATATTCCCAAAAGTAGGAAAAATGATCTTATACACACGAATAATCCTTACTATTTTCATAATTAGCCACTATATTAACATCAAACATTGCTACATTTGAATGTAGGACAATGAGCATGAAGGTCTTATTTATTCACTCATTTACCAGGTACTCATTTGTGTACTTGGCTTCGAATACGACTTTATATATGAAGGCTAATGATACTGTCCGACTGTCTAAGCCAAAGTAACGAAAATAGAGGGGGTTCCAACTTGCGACTTTACAGCTAAAAGTTGAACGCCTTTTAACCACTGACCCACCATCGTTGCTCAGTAGTAACCTAAAGGCAATCCATTCACAAAATAAGGTGTAATTGATCTATAAACTGAATCATTGCAAGGATATATGCAAACGATTGAGAAAGAGTCCGACATATTAAAATGAAACAATCAGTATCCAAAGCTCACGTATTGATTGCCAAATGGAAGTCACGATTAGAAATATTAATTATGTTACCCATGGCGAAGGCGATATATCCGTCTATCAATCGAAGGACGAGTAGACCGAGCAGCAGTTCGTTCTGTTCTACTTTACGGCTGTAAAACATGGTCATTAAGGGGAGAGAATACCCGTAAACTACTAGTATTTGATCACAGATGTCTTAGAAATATTGCCAGTATCTGCTGAGTTCACCGGGTAAGTAATAGAGAGGTTAGACGCAGGGTATTAGGGAATAACGGTAAATCAGTTGATGAGGTTGTATATCTCCATCAATTTAGATGGTTGGGCCACGTGTTACGTATGCCTGAATACCGATTACCACGATGCGCAATACTGACTAGTGTTGGACACGGTTGGAAGAAAGCTAGAGGCTGCCAAACCAAAACGTGGCATCAGTCTATGAAGTCGCTAACTTCTAGTCTGAGCCATGTTGGAAGATGCAGACTACTTGGTTGGGGTCCGCGTGACTATCGTTATCAACGGTTGAAGACTCTGGGTGACATGGCTCAGGATCGATCATAATTGCGTGGGTATATACACTCTTTGTCTTCCCTTAAAACGTGAGATAAAAATTACTCTATACCTTTCTTTCTACGAATTAATTCTCCCTTCCTGTATTATATCCTTATACACAATCTTTCTTTTATATATCACTACTATTCGTGTTAATCTTGTTGTGCTAATGAGGTGTTGCAACTTGGACTGGTGCATATATGTCCCTGGTCCTACGTTTTAAATGACTGACTGAATATAGAATAAAAGTTTCTTTTAAAAAGATGAATTGTTAACATTTTACCATTTAGTGTGAGTGATTTCTTGAGAAAAAAATATTACTAATATACTATTTTATAATCATGTTGAGGTATCTGTTTTACTAAGGAGATAAAAAAGAAACCAATATCGACTAACCAAAATTGATTGCATATGCTGTCGTTCAGCTTCTAATGCACGGCTCGACCTTGCATCAGCCTCTTTAAGACGTTCTTCTAAAACAGTGATTTGTGCAGTTAAACGAGCATTCTCTTCACGTAAACGATCTAAGCGCGTTTCACTTTCAGTATTTCTGTTGATTTTTAGACCTTCTACACGTTCTTCCATTCGGCGCATTTGATCCTTTAATTCAAAAGTGAAATTGTGAAAAAAATTTAGATGTAGAGAGAAGATAAATTCAAGTGGCATGGGACCAATTGTGAAAGTAAGAAATGGTGAAATATATAAATGGTAAGCAGAAAATAAACGAACAAAGTTAATTACAGTTAAGTGTTACGCAATACTTCATCACCTGAGTGTATTGGAACCACCAATTGAACAATGCTGAGGTTAGACAAAGTGTACTAGGTAAAAAATTGGTTGGTAATATGCTGTGGACCTTCATCAACTGAAGTGGTCGGAACATGTATCACACTCCCAACCATCATCTACGTAGATGTACGATGTTATACTGGTGTAGAGGTAGGTTGGAAGAAAGCTAGGAGCGATCAAGCCAAGACATAACATTTGTCCGTGAAGACAGCAACTGTTTGACTGAGCCGTGATGGTAGGTGCAAACTAGCAAGTTGCCGTCTGTGCAGTCGTCGTAACCAATAGTTTGAGACGTTGAATGATATGGAACAGAATCTGTGCGAATTTTACACAGAAGCACTCACTCTTTGTATTCCCTAAGATTTTGAGTCTTAAAATCTTTTTATTCTTCCTCCTTGAATTATATTTTTCATGCCTGATATTCTCTTCTACCAATGACGTTGCTGTTACTTCAATTACTCGCTGTGTTTATGTGGTATGTGAAGTTGAACTGATCATTCACACGTGTGTCAGGTTCTACATTACTTATAACTAATGTATTATATTTCAATATAAACACATAATGACTAACAGAAGTACTTACTCGAATCAATTCAAAATTAGACTCCATATCACCGAGTAATATATCCGATTGTGAAGCGCTCGCTGGAGAATCTGGACCATGATGTAGACTTGATAAGGGATTTGCACTGAAGAAAAATAAATAAATGGGCGGTCAACAACATAATTATTGGTAGAAAAACTGAGAAGTAATGAAAACAACTAGGAATGTTTATAAAAAAGCCTATAATTACTACAATAAAAAACAATCAGTTATTTGAGTTACAATAATAAGAACAACAACGCAAACCGTAATTAAGCAAACACGAATGACAATATCTTCAAAAGTACAACTTGATGAAGTCAGTGTATTATGTACATTATTTAGTACGTAACTTATTCTTGGTATCTTGACGTCAGATGTGGTAAATTGTACCGGTACACATTTGTAAAAGAGATCCTGTGTTGATAAATGATGAGAACGTGATTTCGAGAAAATTTGATGAGTTAAAAACAGACGACATAGAGATAATATGGCGAGCAAATAAAGAATGAGTCAGAACAAATAAGGAGTAACAAAATCATGCCAATAAGGAGTGATTAAATTTCAGTATTGAATAACAACAATAAGGTAATACAAATTATTGCGAATAAACACTACGCCGGGTGAACACGTTAACAGATATTTGAACTTAGAAGCTAAGTAAATAAATCGTTGGCGATTGAGACAACAGAGGCACCGGGTACGGGTTCGAACGTGAGCATTAACACTAGGATATGGGTATGCGCCTACACTTATTATTTTCCCCTGAACACTGTCAAAATTCTTGGCATGCGTGTGCATCATCGAGTCAAGCTGTCACACTATATGTCCACGACAAGATGAAATTATGAAGACAAATATCAGAATAGTAGTAGTAACAGTATCAATGATAATAAAAATGCCCAAACATGAACTATTTATTTATTTTAACACATAGACATTGGTACAAGGAGGCACCAAATACATATGCGCCACACAAATCTCATTCGATATGTGTGAGGGCTGTGATACTGCCCGGGTGCCCAAACCGAAGCAGGTAAACATGAACAAAATAACTCAAAAAGAAAGAACTAACTCATGGAATAAAAAGTAATAGATAATTTTAAAAGTAGCACACTAAAGAATAAACAAACATACAAGTACAGTATCGATAATATACCATGTTCATGGTCAACATATTATAAAGGAAAAAAATCATCAGATTATTTCAGAACATATAGAATAAATCGCGTCACTCGTTGAACATAGAAAAATACCACCGATCAACGTTCAATTATTTTACTCGTATTATTTCCAATAGTGATTAATAATAATAATAATAATAATAACAATAATAATAATAATAATAATAATAATATTCCACAAATAAATTTCACACGAATTTACTCTCATATTGAGTAAAACAAAAAGAACTGATTCATGAGATAAATAGAAGAGACTTAATAATGTTTTACTAATATATATATAAAGAACAATGTAGCATCACGCTAGTGTGTTACCACACCCTTTAATAAAAACAGCATCGATAAAACAGAGATAGACAAACAATCTTGAGAGGACTAGAAATTATAATGATGGCAATAAACTACTATTTTACTCTTAAAATGAAAAAAGTAAACGTGAACACCGCTATCCAACTAGGAACATTTTTACGATAGGTTTGACAATTATATGAGACCACTAGGTCTTGTTAGCTAGAGAATTCATGTACTTTTACAAGGTCTAAGCCTAAGTGATAGGAACACTTTATTGAATCTAGTCATTATTTAAATCATAAGATGCCATTCAAAGTGCAGAATAGTGAAGGAAAAAACGGTGGATAACGAGATAGTTTGTTAAAGTGTGAAGTAGAGAGAAATTAGCTATTTACTAATAACTTTTAAAAAAACTAATTGAATAAAAGATCTTTCCGGAAAATACTTGTAGTTATCCTTGCGGAGGACTCTTCGAAACTAATGGTTAGTAACATTGGGTACCAAACATGGGGCTAAAATCAACGTTACAGTGGCTCAACTAGTTATATTCATTCACTAACTTTCACCAAATCTTGAATTAAGTAACGCTCCTCTTAACTTTACATTTCTCGGTCTAAGTGATTCCTTTTAAAAAATTGTTTTTTTCCTGCTGAAACTTTGATTACAATTGATATGCGTTTCCCATTTCTTGCCTCTCTCATGTGTGATATGCTAATCTGACATCTAGCAACTTAAACCAACACATATTTGGTGAGTAGTCTTAAGCTGATGAATGGTTGAATAAATGACAAATGGTCAAAATATCTTAAACAAACAAAGAATGGGGCTAAGATATTGGAAGAAAAAGTTGAATTCCTCCATACATGTCCGTGTAAAACAAATAACATATATATTGCACCATTATTATGCTTTTTGTTTCATTACATGTTGGTTTTGATTTATCATAACTAACTGTTCCACATTATGGATTGACTTTGGTTAGATAACCACTGAAAACTAGAAACCAATCCTAATATGGGACTCCTCAATACGGTACATCCATGACCTTACATAAGATCAAATCCAAGACCCTGTCTTGCTCGCGAATGCCTAACATTTAGACCACTGAACCAGTATCATATGGTGGCCATGTCTAACTTCAACCAACTCGACATACTGAGCGACCATATCTCATTACCTGTAGTGGGTAACTATCTCACATCCAACATAGTCGGACTGCACTGGTCAAAGTTTTTCACCGGAAATCCTAGAACGTCATTTCGAAGTTATCCACTAGTGAGCGCATGATTACTATCAGTATAAGGGGTCTGTAGAGATTGCTGAATTTTTATAGTTTACATCATGAACTAATTAAAATCAGCCTGTGATGTAGACTGTGAAAACTCTATTCAACAACTTCCACAACCCCCCTATGCTAATAAATATAAAATTCACTTTAACTTAGCATTTATGTTGGTATGTAATAACCGACAATAATAATAAAAATAATGATAATAGTAACAGTAATAGAACAGGTGATCATCAGTATACCATGCACACATATACACCTAAATATGATCATATTCTCACTATTAAAGATCATACTTCACATGTATTCAAAGCAATATATAATATGTATTTATGTGAGATTACAATAATACAATGGAAACATAATACCTATGTAACATTATATTAACAGAATATAGGAAATTGAAGAGATAGAGAAAAAGGTAATTTGTAAGCATGTATATATCCCAGAATATACGTTAATTAACAACAAGCACGTCTACGTTCTCTCTCCTTTAATCGTACACTCATGAAATGACTATCTACTTGGAAATATGAATGTTAGTAAATTCGAAACACCTTGTGAATAAATAAATGGCACGTACACAGTCTGAAAACAAACAGTTTCACGAAATTTCCTTAGCGACTAATTCAGCATAATGATGTAAACCTTAGTTGCCAGGCCCAATTTTTTTTATTTGAAGGCCTTGGAAAATGTCTTTTTGTATATTGTTGAAAATGTGTAGACTGATGATATTATCTGATTGGTAAAACTGAGATAGTAGATGGAGTGGGATTCGACTTTGCAAGCAAACGGTGTGAATGGAAGTCTTCACTTGAGAGCCATTCAGCAAGCAAAAGTAATGCTTTTCACGCTCGATAAACAATGAAATATATTTGTTTCGCAACTATATCTTACCCACAATGCCGCCAGCCCCGAAATTAATAAATTCATTCAGTCCTACTGGTGACCAGTCACTGAGAAGTGATCAAGTTGCAATATGGCCACTAATTCAAGTAACTCGATACCACGTGTACTATGTTTAGATATTAGATGGTTCGCGGTAGACGACAAAAATCCTAGGATCCAGGTTTTATGCTATTTAATACTCGCCAACAAGGTGTACAGTAATCTTGGAGGAACTGATGCGTTCTGGTCAATTAAATCCCATATTACCCAGCCTCACAGCCTGAGACAATAATACTGAGCTGTTTTGGCAGCGACTGACCTCCCGCAAAACTGAAATATTGCAATTCCACATTTTTCCCAAACTTTTATGCAATATTCAATCATAGTTACTTTACGCTAGCTGACTTTGCAAATTTAAACAGGTCTAAAACAGAGAACACTTACAACCCCTAAAAATTACTAAGAGAAAGAGATAATTGAGCATAAGGATTTGAAGATAACCACTTATATATGGTTGAAAGATCAGAAGTTGAAAATGGTTGTCATCACAGATTTTGATATCATAATCACTATATATCAATTATGGTGGAAAGATGAGACGACGGTGAACTGGTATGACACGTTTTTCTGAAGCTGTTTTCTATATTCTTTCGTGTCAACTGTAATAAACAACAAAATAGAACAATGTACAGAATAACAGGAGAATGTAGGTCAGTGCGAATCGCCACATATCATGTCAAAACAGTTAGAAGAGACTAAGTTACAATAAAATCAAGGGAATGAATGATAATGACACTAATAACGGTAAAGAGCTAGAACGGAAAATAAAGCAAAAGTGTACAATAGGATTCGATGTTACAGAATCAGAGAAAAATTTAAAAATCTGAATACGTCTATCTAACAGTCAATGAATATTTTGACCCACGTAAACTAACACCAGAAACCATACGATCATAGCTTGACCACCACAGTACATTGAGGTCGGTGGTAGATGCGTATGAATGATAGCTGCTGGTAAAAATCAACGACTTTGCTAAGCAATTAATCATTTTTATCTAGCTACTGCTCAATACACAATAAGAATATCATGTATTCAATGATTTTATCATACACAAATGCTCCTCAAGGATATCAATAACATATGTACATCTTTTATTTCCAACACGCGTTCGATCAACTAACAAGCTGTAGGCTCGAATCCCACTTGGTCTACTTCGATTTTAATAATCCAATATAGTGTCATTAAGCTTCGTTCAAATAACGTGACTTAGTCGAATACGTAAACCTGTACATAATTGGATAAATGAGTTACTATAAAATAAATATATAATAACTAGAAAGTACATTTTCGTAACAAGTTATCACCACATAAAACCTATGGATGAAAAAAAGCAACCCTATACTTTTAAAGAAAAATCTAGAACAGTGGCACTAAGTGGTCTAACATCAAATAATTTTCATGCAATGCAATAAATCAAAACAACCAGAATTTGTTTTTCAAACAGTGCGATTTATGAAAATGTAAACAGGAAAAATTAAATTACCGTCTATCTATATTAGGTAACAAAACATTTGTGCTTATTATCAATATAGGAAGTGATTATGGAGATTGTAGAATTTCCACGAGCCGATCTTAGTCTAGAGATTGTGTCCTAGAATGAAACAAGGTTCTAGGTCTGATTCCCGTGATAGAGTCGTGCACTTCTAAGGAGTCAGACAATGGGATGAAACAGGGGCCTAGTTCTTCCTAGTTAATTACAGATGTCTAGGACCAATTCTTGAATTAAACCGAAGATTTGTCCTTAATAATATAGTACAATCAGAAAAGAACAGACTCAAACTGAAGAGACCTGTTTCCATCTAATTTTATGTAGAAATTTAGCATCATCCACGAGATGTGGAACAAGAAAAAATTAGGACAAAAAGGTAAACCCTTATGCTTCAAGCACTATCTTTAGGGAAGAAAGTCTCTAGGAGCAGGACTATATTATAGCGACCACCTTAACATAGCCCCTTTTGTCTTCCGTCCAAAATTCAAAATGTAGTGAAGGATAGTATGTATCTTATAGAACGCTTTCTAAAATTACTTCCTAAAATGCTTAAAGTTGCTCAAAATATCTTTCCTATAATCATATAGATGTGACATTCTACATAGGCTAAATCAGAGGAAATACCTAGACTAACTCCAGATTGTATTTGAGCATACTTTGTGTGATTGATGCAATAGCCAAGGGTATTTTTGTGACTTAAAACTATTCGCTCACTTTGAAGCAATATCTCAACCTTAACCGTAACTTCAAACCCTCATAAACTTAACCTTAACTCCTAATCACATAACTACTAACCCTAGCTCCCAGCTTTAATTCCTGCTTCTACTCAGACTCCTAATTCGCTTTTTCATCAAATTATGACTATTTACCCACCCTCGTTTTATTAACTTTTGTTATAAATCATTTTATAATTAGGCTGTTTTCTAATCGGTTGACAACCATTCAAGGTCGTCGTTACTATATGATCCTACAATCTTTAGGTATCAATTGGTCAACCAACCAACATAGATCCTGGTAAGTACGTGCATCTGTTCAAGTCGTCACACCTCATCATCGGAACAGTGAGATTAAATTATCTTAACAAATGTCGGGATAGTTTAAATAGCGACAGTACTAGCCATAGATAATCTGACCCGAGAAGAATGAACGAATTCGCAGGATAAAAATATAAAAGGTAACTTTAGATCTCAAGATCCGAGGTGCAACATCTGTGCTATTAGGATTGATTCTATGTCATGCTGGTCGATGTTTCAAACCATTGGTTCCGATAATCACATAGACACCAACCTACCAACATCCCGTGAAAAAGAGATGAGAAAATATAGTATATATATTCGTTTATTTATTCATCAGCATACGCAGTTTAATTATTTCTTAAAAAATTAATTATTAAACATACCAAAAAACATTGTAGAAATGCTTTTGGAGGACTTGACGACAACAACAACAACAGCAATGACGATGACAATGACAAACATGCGTAGTTTACCGACCAGAAAAAAATGTTATATGCATGAAACACTGTGAGACTGGAAATCCCATATATATGATGTTATGGAACCGTGTCACTACTACTACACACTGCGATACACTACATACATACTCAAATACTGGAAACACGTTAAAGGACAAGTAACTTTGTGTGATAAATGAGACTGATTGACTAATGAATCTGTGAATTAGCTATCGTCGAAAAATCCCCAACTACTCAGTGAGAATAAGATTGATTAGGAAAACCGATGTAGAAAGTGAACGCTTGACAAATGAACGAAAACAACGTTTTAAAAAAGTCTTGAATAAAACTGAAAGTAAACAAAATAGCACACAAAATGAAATATAAACTTGGAGTTTTTTGTGTTTAACTTCTCAATGGTTGCTTAACTGAGGTTATTTTGTGGCGAATTCTATCATTGAAATAAGTAAATACTTAGAAACTATCAACATCTACAAAACAATATAGTAGAGGAAGGACCTTGTAACATCTGTTCATAGAAAACTTATTCAAATAATTGTAATCTACTTTGTATCACAGACTTCTTAAGTTGCATAGTCATTACAGTAAACCTAAGTCATCGTAAAAAGAGAATTCATGTACACAGATTCACGTTTTAAGGAATTCATTAGGCCAGCAGAGGTAGGTGTATTAAGCTCTAAACTAAACAACTGCTAACCTGATTGAACCGAAGTAATTACAGCGAAGTTCGAAATTGTAGCTTAACACAATCTAAAGTCAAATAATTATACAGTTCTTAATACATCTACCCAATTCGGATCAGACCGACCAATTTGATCCAGCAGAATATTTCTTGATACTTTGAATAAAAACATGCTTCTGGCTGACAAACTGTTGGAGTTGATCTACACATCAACATTATGACTTGTTGAGGTTGTCACAGCAACAAACACTATTGTAACCTTTCACAAAATATTATTTTAGCGTGATAATGCCACCTAGTTGACACTAATTCCTATTGGTTTCTTTGTCTTGCAGAATATCAGATATACTGTAATGTTTGTTCATTTCATAGTTTTTACTTGAAACATAAAAGTTGTCTTACGAAGTCTAATCTTTTCTCTTTTTACTTGAGTACAGTTGACAAACGTTGCTGTTCATGGGTCGTTCGATCTATATCCAATCGAGATAGCTTCCCTCTCTTATTAGAAGGCAGATCACCCCTTATCCCCCACCAATCGTCGTTATTCTCGAACTCAACTCTATACAAACTACAACACGAACAAATTAAACTATACCCTATTGTATAACAGAATAATGACTGAAGAATTAAACTTAACGTCAGATAGGTGAACAGTAAGTTGATTAATGAATGAATACATGCTACAGTACATATATGAATCAAGTTGTAAAATGAAAGAGAGAGGAAGTGGCTAGTGGTAGACAGAAATATATGTATATATATATACAAAGAGACTAAAACTCCTTTTTTTCCACAGTGCACAACACTTACAGATAGCCCAAACTGTACCTAACAAATAATGAATACAGTTGAAATGATTTTGGTTCAAATGAAGTGAGTGAACAAAAAAAAAGAAATCTGTAAAATAAAAATGTTTGTTAACAATTAAAATAAATCCATCCTTATATTTAGAATCAGTACTTATTTGACACAGATTATTCGAAAAAATTGACAGTGCATTAGTAGATAAGTTTCAAAAAGATTGAGTTTGCTTTATTTGAAATTCGTAAAAAAAATAAGAATTTATTTTGTACAACTTTCAGAAATCATCTAAAATTTGTTTCTGAGAAGAGAAGCGAAGGGCCAACTATCAAAGAAAGTTTGAATATCCATTCCTCACCCCTAAAACAGAATAAATAGACTTTTGCACCAATCTGCTACTTGACTACTAGATCAATCAACACGTACTATTTAGTTTAGTCTGAATAATTGTTTGCTCCATTAAATTTTATACATATTCACAGGTTTACTTTCTGTGAAATGTTAAATCCTCTACAGACCCAATCATCAATTTACAAATGATAATATATTTGATAAAACAGCAAAACACATGAAACACAATTATATTTCTATGTTTAGAAAAAGTCAGATTACATACAAATTGTTAAATATAGATAAAACAATAGGACGGAGTTGATCTGAAAAATGTGATGTATTTGCGCTACATATTTCAAACAATTTGATCACATATATATTTGTTCTTCGAAATTTATAGAGCAAATATATCACATTTTTCAGATTAAATTCGTCTTTCCATTGTTCTATAGAAATTTATAAAAGGGACTAATTGGTTTGAATTGTTAGATAGTAGAATAAAAATTTGATTAGATTACCCCGTTTACTCTAATTTAACTCACTTTACTAAGTGATAAATCAGTGTACGCGGCTTTAAGTCCTACTTTATTTGTGAGAGCTATTGATACTAGCTGACCGCCCTAATGGGATTTTACTTTGACGTGTCCTCATTTTGTTTCTCAAGAATGAAGAGAACCAATGATTAAGAAACTACAAAAGAGAAAAAAGTAGGAACTTACCTATGCTTTGGCCAACTGCTTCTAATCTCACCCCGTTGCAAACGGGTACTACAACTTATGTAAAGCAATTTCAAGTTTTCGAAACAGGTGCAATCATCAACAATGCGGCCAAAATAGTGGTAATTATAGTAATAATAGCGACAACAGAAGTAGGCGAATAATCATCATTATTATTGATACAATGATGAAATCACCCAGCGGCAATGACAGGTATGAATCGGGTTAGACAAACATAAGCAATAATGATGATAATAATGGTAATAACAGTGATTAGATTGTGAGTTGTCGAAGGGCAATACAGCAAACAGTGTTAGAATTATTTGATTCATTTTGTTTTTAAAGAAAAACGGAAAAAAAGTCAAATATGAGGTTTAATCATAAGAATAATGAATTTCAAATTTAGGGTTAAACCATGGTACGAGTATAGTACTTAGTGAACAAAGCTATCATTGTACTTAACAGTGATAAAAAGTAAACTACCTGGATGAGAAACTATAGTTAAGTTAGAAACAAATAAATAAATAAATAAATACATTTCAATTAAGCTGTAATATATATATATATGATTTAGTATGATTCATGAAGTTACAATATATTGTCTCAAAATCTGTTATTCGCTTGAGTATTTTGGGCAGGATTGTACAGGCTGAACATGCTATTTTCCAAGAGTATTCACTCGATTATGTCAAACGCTTGTCAAATCCACACTTCCTGTATCCCCAAAAATTGGTTTTGACTTCAGTAAAGTAAATCAAGATGATCTATTTGACAATATACTCATTCCTTGATACCCAAACGAATATACGTTTCACACAAGATATGATGTGAGTAAACAACGATAAGGTGAGCTATATTTATTATAGAAATTACCAGATTACGATACAAAAGGTGTTGATATCTCAAGTTATAAAGTTGCTTTTTAGACATTTTAATAAATAAGAAAATGCAAGTCGCTGAAGCAAGTTGCTTTTTGCGTTACATATGGTGAATAAACTCGCAGTTACGGTTCCAATAATAAGTATCAAACTCAAAGATATTTCAGTTTGCACTCTTCATCTAATGAGTACTTCATGTATCACGTAATAATGAGCATCGGCACAATGGTGAATTGGCTGTGATCAATTCGACACCACCAACCTATGAAACACTACACACTTATAATGGTAGACAGTGAAGAATATGCTGATTATTGATCAGACTATATGGAGCAGAACAGGATAAGATAGCGTTGATGGATCTACTCATTTCATAATTATTTTCCTAAATCGTGGTTTTTTTCATTACTTGTTGTTACTAGTTTTCTTTTTATTACCCAAACTTATCTATGAGAGATAAAATCTAACCCATCTCTTTAGAACTCCAATATTCCTTCAGTGAACCAAACACCGATCAAGTAATTAAATAATTACTTCGTGAAATTAGGTAATGGTATGAAAAAGATATTCTTATCGTAATATGACTTATTTGCACAATAACATCAACCAAAACACACTTTTACTAAAGCCGGATATTAAACATAAAAGAACCATGGAAAAAACAACACGAGAGACAAACACATTAGCCTACTTGTTTGGTCCATCGGCGCTTAAGGCAGAGTCAGTGTCAATATCAAATAAAGTTGGATCGTGCATATGCACACCACTATCATCAGTCTGAAATTCAAAAAAATATAACTACAACTAGTAACTGTCTAAAACTAAAGTCAATCACATAGTGTAATAAACAACAACGAAATCAATTTTAATCACAAGTGATTTTTAAAATGTGACTGTGAACTTGTATCATCTGAAGTGACTGGGGTCACTTGTTCTTGTTCAGATAAACATGTTTTGTTTAGCTGCAAAATATAGTAAAATAGACAAATGCGGGGCTATGTCTTGAGTATGACTAAGTCCTTGGGGAAACTTAAGTTCAACCTAATAACAGTGAATTCCCACAAGTTATCCGAAAATCCCATCCTTCCAAAATTAATATCACATTAAATAAGGATGGCCAAATATATATATCATTGTGGAGATAATCAGAGTTTGCAACACTACATTTTAAACTCTACACTAAATATAATACACACTTTATATATCATATATATATATATTATTATATATATATATATCATTCTAACAACAATACGGATTCGGTTACCTTGTCATAAACAACAAACTTCGAAGCTTATATCCTTTAGTTTGAAGCTCAATGCACAATCTTTTTATGTTATCATAGTAAAGATTATGATATCTGAGAAATCTCAAGATTTCATCACCGGCAGCGGAATCATCAAACAGAATCACTGTTCGAATAGTATATCTCTGTTATTTACAGTTGAACAAAGTGTTCCTTATAAACAGAAATGCATGACCAGTGAGCATTTAATTAGTTTCCATAATATTTCATGAATATAATGAGACGAATGAGTAATCTTGTTACGCGTACAGTACTAGGTAAGTCTCAAATTGGTAAATTTCCAAACCTCCATTAGGTAACATGGTTCGGAGACATGTTGAACACAGAGGTTCAACGCTCATTACGAAGCGTTACGCTGACTAACATAGGAGTCGGCTGAAAAAGCTTTAAGGGAGGCCAAGCAAAGACATGTCATCAGTCCATGAAGCTACAGAATATCGGACTGTCATGTGCCTTGATTTATATACTTTATGGTTTAAGACATAATCTTTCATCGAATCTGAAGACCTTGAGTTATACGACTTAGAATCAGTCACAGTGGTATAGATATACTCAATTACTACTTTCCGGTATTATTTCGTAACTCTGGACTACTTAATCATTTTCTTCACTCCTGAAATGTAGCCTTTCGGCCTATGTGCGTCGCCATTAATTTACTTTCTCTTTATAGTTAAGAAAACTAACAGTTAACTAAAGTATAAGTAAGGTGTATTTGTATTACGCTCATATGATTTTCATTTGTTTTTAACATGTACAAGAATGGGGATAAAAAACGTAAGTAGATCAAACAATCGTCTGAGAAAACATATGATCAATGAGTAATGGGCAAATTCACTAATAACACACACAACGTATTCAGTAGCGTCACAGGCTATACGTACAGCACACAACAGACAACAATATGAGGACAAAACGTACCTTGTTCTCCAAACCGTCTGAAAGGAAGCTCGACCTTACAGATGCGTTTTGCCCATCTGAATTCCTAGATAGAGAATTTGAGTGCTTTGATGTACTGTCTTCATCAACTAATTGTATATTATTGAGATGAAAGGAAACTTACAGTTTATGTTTCCCTCAAAAGCCTTCTTAAAATCTTCATAATGTATAATTCCGTCATTTTCTGGATCTAAAGTCTGCACTACTTTCATGATATCCTGTACACGTATTAATAGGTAAAAAAAAAGCAATTACGTTCGAAGAAAGTGATGATCGCCTTTCTCCATCAGCTCCACATGAATTATAAAATTCTTTAAAAGTTGATACGAATTGCTCCACAGTAATATATCCCTTATTTTCCGTGTCCAAGGCTTTGAAAACTAGAACTAGAGGATCATCAGTCATTTCCATTGCCTTATTTGGAATACGTAACCCAACAAATCAAACTGACGCACTGAGTCAGTGCATCAATTCAATTTCCAATATCACCAATATCTTTATCACAAGCTTGTATAAAGCAGTTGTTTTTTTAGCTGGATTCTTCCTGTTTCGGTATGCTTACCGATATTTGTTGAGGACTGCTGAATAGTAGTCTAGCCACTCTAGTGGTCTGTTTCAAGTCCGTTTGGTAGTTATTTTTTATTTATATGTCTTGTAGTTTATGTGTGTGCTTGTCCCAGAGAAAAATGGTTTCTGGATACCAGAAGATAACAAATTACCAGTCAAGAGGTTGACCTAAGGCAATGTGAATATAGTAAAGTGATAATTCAACCTCTGAGAGATTACTGTTTCAAGAACAAACAAATAATTTGCTTAATTGATAATGTATAAGGAGACGGAGTTAGGAGAGTAATAAGAACGACAAGGGCGAAAGCAACCGAGATGGGGAGTAATTAACGATATGTAGCTCAACGAGAAAAATCCCAGGGTTTTATGCCTATCACTCACTTGGTTCCACGTCTCTTCACTTGGTCCTAGATATTTGCGTCTCTTTTGAAGAAAGAGGATGCCATGACATTGTGAACTTTAAGGTGAGGACTTGTTCACGTTTTACATAGTATTAAGAAAGCCCTGATGTGGTTACGCACAATTGTTCTTACATAAACTAGTGAGTTGCGTTTTGCTTGTTTGCATCTTCCGTGTAGTTTGGGCCGGTGTCTTAGTTCTCCGTGATTCCAAGACCCAAACCACGCTCTAAGGAAACGATCGGGGGCGGATTTGCGTTGATGATGTAAGTGGTTTGTGTAAGATCCATTTTGAATGTTTTGTGTGTTGGTGAAAATCCCTCCATGTATATACTTGCACTTTGTTCCTATTGATTCCCTTAGTTGTACATTGTTGTCTTTTGATTACATTTGAATTGTTAATACTTGTATTTTTTTATTGTAGTTTTTGTTTTGCTTACGCATTCACTAAGTCTGTGTTTCTTCCCGAACTGCATCTGTGTTGTTTTACTTGACACTTGTTCTTGGTGGTAGCCATATTGATTTGCTCCTCCTTTTGTGTGTTCTATCCAGTCAGGATAGAATAACGTTCATTTGTTGTGACTGGTAATTTTCCCTCAACTTTCATCAACTACTTTATTTATTGTAATTTATATTTTATTGATTGAACAATTATTGGTTGAATAGCCGGGTGGTAATATTTGTTTAGGTAACGATTTACATTTAAATTGATGATGAATTATAGAACCGCTATTTACCTGATTACTTGTTTTGATTTCGACGGGAAATGGCGCTTGTCTAACGTACCTGGAAGGCTATTCAGCAGTCCAAACCGTAGTTTGGATCTTACACTCAGGCATCTTCCTAGAGATCCTACATTTCTGAGCTTGGGTAAGAGCGTATTGTAGGAGGTCTTATCAAAAGCTTTGACAAAGTCGACTAGAATAGCATATACTGGTTTTACAATGCTGAGCAATTGGACACTGCTAGCAGAAGATCTGTCACTCATGACAAGCCTTTCCGAAAATATTGTTTTTCACTGTATAACACATTTCCATTGTACTATCGAAAATTTGTAACACAAAACTCGTAGAGTTAAACAGTGTAGAGCTTAATGGATATTTGATAAGCTCTGTATTATATAATAGGGTGGCCGTTGCATCCTTTTAATACGATGGTGATCTGCCCTAGCTGAGCGACATTTCGATTATAGTTGCTAGCGCGGCAGCAACGCACATCGGGAGTTATCTCAGTGGTCGGTAATGTAGTTCATCCGGTCCAGTTCATTTTACTGTACTCAAAGAACTCAACGCTTTAGTATTTTGTAGCTAAGGTCCAAGTTGAGTAAGTGATATAATAACATTGCTTTTAACCCTAGCTCTTAATTTAACATATGCTCATGGGATAAAAGAAAAGCTGAGAAAACCATTATGGCAAGTAGTTGGTAAAAAATCGAAGAAACAGCGACTTCAACATTCCAGAGGGTCCTTCGCCACTGGAAGCACCAGATGTTGGTGTGCGTAAGGAGCACCTATAGATGCCACCCCACTAACTAAAGAAAGACCTTAGAAAGTGTGAGAACTATAGTTTATAACCCTAATGTTCGAACCGAGAAACGTTTTCGACAAAGTGCTTGTGATCTAATTGAAAGACTAAAATGTTTTGAATTATTTGAATTATAGCAAGAACTAAGAGTCCCAGAAATAACGCAATTGGATTAAGAATTAAGACACAAGCACAAGCGAATGTATTGTATTTGGAATTCGAAATCGAGCATTCAACACGTACAAAGGTATTATTAGTTCGTTCAAACACCACATCCGCCACAGCTTAAATAGAAGTATAAGTGTTTGTAATCGGTTGTACGTCTTCTTGTTAAGTTCATCCTCAGTCTGTCCGACATTGTATTGGATAAAAACTTTGTAGTATCTAGAATGTGCTGATTAGTATTGGAATTAACAAACGAAATCGGAACAGACTCACCTGGAATTGTATACAACCAGCATGTTGGTTTTGTAATGATATCATTAATATCTAGAATTCGAACCATAGATTTTTCAACACTATCCTCCCTCACGAAATAACGTTGGATCTTTATATGCCAAAGTTATGAATAATGTGGCTTCATTTAAAACATATTTCTCAACTTGATTAGAGTATACATTGGAAGTGGATTTGTGATAAGGGTAAACAGCAGTTGATACGAAATCATCCGAAATGTAATCAAACTCGAGGTCACTTAGTACTCGTGCTTCTCATTGAGCAGGTTTTTCACATGGATCAAATGCATTATGAGGATAGGTAATTTATGATATGACATCAGGATTTGATTCTTCTGAAATATTCTTATGAAATTCATTAGGACTGTCATTGCAGAGCGTAGAATCGTTAGAAAAATCAGCATTTGAATTATAGCACGAACTAAGAGTCCCAGAAATAACTCAATTGGATTAAGAAGTGAGACACAAGCACAAGCGAATGTATTGTATTTGGAATTCAAAATCGAGCCTTCAACACGTAAAAAGGTATTATTAGTTCGTTCAAACACCACAAAGACTCAGTAGAATATCAACAATGAGACCAACAAGATTGATTATCTACCGACTGAGATGCGACGCGAAGGATCGATTTTGCGCAATCGGTTGAATGGGACTAATCACTTTACTGTAATAAGAAGACGAAGATTATCTTCGTCTTCGTATTACATTGTCGTAACCACTATACATCAAATTCCCTGATTATAAGAGTGTAGATAGGAGACTTAACTCAAAGTCCTTCATGAAGGAAAACTGACAGATGCAGATGTGAATGAACAGGTAGCCAAAAAAGGGCACCATCCCTATAATTGGAGAATATCCGAAAATCAAAACAACTGTCAATCAACACCAGATTCCACATTTTTAGTGAAGATGTCAATACCGTTCTATTGCATGGAGCTGAAACGTAGAGAACTACTACAACCATCATCCAGAAAATATACGTACTTGTAAACACCCCTCTACACAAGTTACTTCAGATTCGTTGGCTGGATACGATAAGCAACAATCCACTATGACAGAGAACAATCCAGATGCCAGCCGAATAGGAAAATAAAAAAGGAGCTGGAGATGGATAGGACATTGTGATATTTAGAAGTATTAGAATTGTCGTGCGAACTAGAAATCCCCTAAATTGTGCAAGTTACGAAGAATGAAACTAGATGAACACAGATGAACGTATTGTATTTTAAATTAGAAATCAGGCATTCATCAAGTACAAAAGAATCATTAGTTCATACGAACACCACAGTCACACTCTGCGGAAATCACCAATCTGCAACACGAGGTAAGCCTGAACATGGTATCCTGACAGCAAGAGTCGAAAAGACAGATCAAAGAACATGTTTTGCCGAAAATTGGAGTCAAACATCAATAGAATGAAAAGCATTTAGCAACAACTGGAAAGAAGAGTCGAGAAAAAAGTTGGTTAGCGACTCCTGGCCTATGATGTATGTCAAACGAGGTGTAACAGGCGTAAGTAAGTAGTAAGTTGTATGACCCCGTACTACAAAGATGCATACAATTATAGAAATAAATTAACATTGAATTATAGCGTTTCCTATCAGTTGATCCAATGGGATCTATGATGGTCAATAAATTACAAGAAGAGGTAATGAACAGTTACACCAAATAAGATAAAGCAAAATAAGCAATTGAAGCAAGAGATCATTACAGCCACAACACATATTAACTAAATGACCATGACTAAACCTCATGACGTCCTAGTCATTCGTACGAAGTGAACGATAAATTATCACAATCGGTTGTAAGGAGTCAAAGTGATATCCAAAATTCATACTGTAATGTTGGACACAAAAATCACAAGTAAGAAAGAGAATTATCTACTTTGAACTAGCTCAATAAAAGAAACTGGACAAGATGAATAAGAAATAGAAGAAACTATGATAATATGAAAGAAGTAATGCACGAAAAAACTTCTTACACATTCTAAGTGCTATCAACAATGTCGTACTACATACAATTTTCAATACCTTTATATACTGTATGAATGATGTAAAATTAACATATGAAATCCAGATTTACGAAATCCCGGGTTATACAATAAAACAAGGATGCGAGACCAAATATATGCCAGACATATTCTGAATCAGAACATCGACTGAGTACATTGACAAGAGCGTGGATGGTCAGGTCAGCTTTCGCCAAGGTTGACTGAAGTCGACGGTACCAAACGGGTGATGATCGGAGGCGTGGGCTCAGGATACAAAAAAATCAAAAAAAGGGAAAAGGTGTAGCATGCATGTAGTATAGGAATAGTCCTACACCGTATCCGTTGATTACGCGGTTAGTCGCGAAAGCGTACGGGTAGGCACACTCGGCGACCAGAACGTGAAACGGTAATCTCGTTTGTGCTTCGTGAGCCTGCAACCTCATCCGAAGTCAAGGGCAGCGTGGTCTGCTGACCTGGACGTGAGACCGAAGTCTCATTCGTAGATGGTGCAGATGACATGTGCTGTTGACCGGGACGTGAGAATGAG